TAAGCAACCTTGCCAAGGTTGAAAACAGACCAAAGTCAACCAAATGAGTTCTTAAAGAGCTTCCTTGTGACTTCTCTTCTTGAGCCTCTATCCTGGAGTGACCAAAAGCTTGGATCACTTGCCATGAAGTGAATCAAGTTATGATTTTGCAGGCACAGAGGAGAAAGCATTCTCCTCTGCTTCTGACATTGCTCATGGAGCAAGGAACGACCAGGGCCAGCTGCCCCCTTCAGTCTGTCCACCCTCCTGACAAAGTGTGTAGACATTACACAAGTCATTACTCATGTTCTCTGTGCTCCACACATATGGTGAGATTCGGATGGCTGGAGTCAGTGAGACTTTGCCATCCAGCAGAGTGATGATTTCATGAGCCATTATCTTAGTCACATAAAAGAGGGTAGCAGTGTTTTTGCCAAAGTGACACTTGACCTTCAAATAATCACAGGGAAGCTACTGCTGTTACTGAAATTTAGTTTAATTGACAATAAAGTGAAATGACTTGGTTCTACAGTTCATGAATGTATTACAAACTCTCCAAAGAGCCGTGGTGCAAAAAACAAAGGCTGATGGAGGCAAGAGAAAATATCCACAGGCTGTCTGCAGGCACATTGGCTTCCTGGGGGAAATTGGTTGTCTTTGAACTGGCTAAAACACAGAAAAAGGAGAAGCAATCTCTTCCATGTTTCAATTCTCCTGTTATTAAAGTCCTGTAAAGTTTGTATGCTGCTGATCAAAGGGGGAAAGTGAGACAACAGCAGAAGGAAAGTGCAGTGAAAACGGGCAACTCAATTTTGACAGGGAAAAATTGGAGCTACAAACTTCAGTACAAAGGAAATGCAACAAATGTCAAAATGCATTTGCAGGTTAGATTTCCAAGGAGTTTCCTCTGTAGTGTAAAGCCTTAAATGTTATTTTCCTATGAAATAAGTGTCTTACATGCTTTAGTTAGGTCATCAGACTAGCCTCCTATCTAGGATATGTAGTACATACCTGAAAATTTCATTTATCCCAAGTAGCTATTTCATTATCTCAGTGGCACAACATGCTGAGAAAGTTTTCCTCTTTGAGAGCACACCAGCAAAGACAAATCTTCCCTCTATGTGTCATAGACTTCTTGAAATTGATAGGTCAGCCCCAAATACTGAAGATTTAATCAGTTTCATGCCTTTGTCCGTTGTCAAATATAGACAAAAATGTAATAAAAAAATACTGCATGGCAAGAAATAAATCAATCTCTTACCTAGAGGAGTTTCATTTTGTTACAATATCCCTCCTCTTTGGTACAATACTGGTACAAATTATATCTGTGCCAGGGTAAACTGGTATGCATGTGGTGTGTAGCTCAGAAATCCATTAGCTGTTGTAAAGGAATGGCAAGAGACTCATGTGGTCCTTCTAAAACTGGTGATTTGTGGATAAAATGAATCATTTGATTAAGATAAGGCCCTTAGGGTCAGAATTGGGGGTGTCTCATTGCACACAAGCACCTTTGCCCTTGTCCCTATGAATTTATGGCACAAGGCAAAGATGGGAGAGAGGTTTGATGAATGGATGTCCCTGTGGTCACAGTGGACTCAAATCTTCCATTTACCAGCCCATTTCTCTGTCTTCTGGGCCATGCTGCCTCACAGAGTCACCTTGGTATTTAATATATATAAAGTACAGTAGCTGGTCTGTGGTTTTGTGTGTTTGACAATGGAGCAAATGCCAGAAAACTAGTGATCTTCTAAATCCACTGGTGGGAATTAATATTTATTAGTGGTGCCTATTGCTAATTCAGAATGTATTTTGTCATTGAAATATCAGAAGCCAAACTTGCAATCCCTACCATTAGGGACTCGTAGGCAACACGTTTGTTTCCTCTACAGGGATTAAATATGCACAGAATAATATTTCCTCCTGATTTGTATAAAATGAAACTATTTGATGGGTCCATCATGCTCTCTTAGGTATGCATGATAAATAAATCCCAAAGCATTCAGGAAAGGTCCTCAGCTGCAGGGATTACCAGCAGGGGAATCAATTATGCAGATTACTTGTGCCTTGAGAGTTGGACGTATGTACCAAGACTCAAATTAGTCAACAAGAAAAAGCTTCATCTTTCTCCAGAAACCTAGAAAAATAATTTCATGTGATTGTAGATTTAAGACCTTTTTCTCTGCCACATTTTCCGTGCAAACACTGGGAATTTAGCTTCACTAACAACATTTTCTTTGCCCGAGAAGCTTGTACACAGAATAGCTTGATAGGAGAACAGAATACAGAAATTAATCAGTAAACTGTGAAGCATAGGACTAGGAATGCTTCATTCGTTTAGGCTAACAATTACTCAAGAACAAGACAAAATTGCTGCATTAATTTAACTCTACCACACCGACATGAATGGCAACAGCATCCTGCCAAACTCTGGGGGAAAAAGGGCTAAGTGGAGTGAGGAGAGATTTCAGGTCTTGGAAACAGGAGCCATTTAGGCTAACAATTACTCAAGAACATGACAAAATTGCTGCTTTAATTTAACTTTACCACACTGATATGAATGGTAGCAGCATCCTGCCAAACTCTGGAGGAAAAAGGGCTAAGTGGAGTGAGGGGAGATTTCAGGTCTTGGAAACAGGAGCCATTCTCATTTTGACCTTCTTTAACTATCCAGTTCTGTGTGCTTCTCCAGTCCCCAGTAAAGGGATCCAGTAGAGCCAGCCCTACCACCCTCTCCTACTCTTCAAGATATTTCCACCATTCCCCTTTGTTCACTGTTTCTCTCACAACATCAGCTCCACGTGACAGATCCACTGTAGTGCCTACCCCATGCCAGCCCAGATCTGACCTTCCATATTCCATCATTCACCAAAGCATCTCCTGCCTCCCATTATCTCACATCGTGGGTATGAGACTCCCTCTACCACTGTCATGGAGCACCTGCCTCCCATGTGTCACTGGGTTTTCCTGTCTTTTTTCCCTGTCCTTCCTAGCCTCCCAGCAAGTCTTACCACGTTTTTCTTCTCAGTGCCTCTCCACTCACATGGCTCCTTCTTGAGGGCTTGGTTTTTGCAGAGCTTTAAGCCTGTGCCAGGCTAGGTCCTGTAATGTGGACACCTTTGTCAGCCAGGGCTGTTGCTTCCTACCCAACAGGGAAACCTGCTGAAGTTCTGGTGCCACACAAGAACAACAAGATCTGCATTTTCTCCCTTGTCTCCTTAACTTGCCTCTCTTCAGAGGGTAAAGACCCTTCATTTTTTGAGAAGGGGTCACCTTTAGGCTTTTCACACGTGGCTTTGGATCACTGCCCCTCAGGAAAAGACCAGACACTGAAGTCCTGCTCCTCCCCCACCCAGGAGGAGGACTTGCACTAGTGTTCAGGAGACAAGGAGCTCTAGGTGTTCATGGAGAGACTTGGTCTCTACAGCCTGGGCTGCTCCCCTTCTGCTGGGTGTGAGCGTGGAGGACCTGGATGGAGGATCAGGGCAATGTTGCCCTGGAGAGAAGAAGAGAAGGGGGTCTTCCTCCAGCATGCAGGGCTCTGGGGTGGTGCAAGGTGAGAGCTGTGGTGCTGAGCAGCCGAGCCCGAGTGTCTGCAGCGAGGAGCTGCCGCCAGCCCCTCGTGTGCGGCTCCGCCCCAGCATCCAGCTCCCGTGCAGAGGCACTTACCGAGCCACCAGAACCCTGCTGCAGGGTATCTCTCCCCTCCTTATTGTGCAGGGATTAAGGCTTGGCTGCCTTGAGGAGAAAGCTCTCCCGATGGCTCGTGAACTCTCAGCATTCCCAATTAAAAGTGTTTTAAAAAGATGGGAATGGCAATCGGAAGGCGGTTCCCACTCCAGCCTTTAAAGCCAGCTTAATTTTAACACCTAATTATGTGCATTACAGACTGGTTCCTATTTCCTTTGCCGAGCTGCTTCTCTGTTTTGATCTCACGGGGTGCTCACCCTCGCAGGGAGGGAGGCTTTGAATAGGAAGAAGCAAAAGCTGTCGAAAGGGACAGAGCCTGAGCGAACAGCAGGGCAAGCAGCACGTTGCTGCCTCTGCCACTCACCTGCTCCATGACCTTGGGCATGTGACAGTGGCATCTGGGGCTTCGGTTTCTCTGCTTTTAAATAGAGGCAATAATTTTCCTCCTGCAGATCGTGCTTGGAGACACAGGACCACAAAGTGCTAAACTAGAGCAGTAAATCCAATCCGGTAGCCTAACGACAGCTCCAGAGGAGTAGCAGAACACATCCATTTCTCCCCATCTTTTTGAGCCCAGCTAATGAAGAGAAAAGAAAAGCCCCTGCCCTGGCTGAGAGCAGGCAGTGACTGAGAGAAAGATGCATCAAAATGTAGGAAACACGCTGGAGTGCAGGAATTCGGTTACAGGGCTGTTTGCAAATTAATGGCTAAATCAATTAAAGGAGAGCATGGGATTTCTCTTGAGGAAAGTCTAGTCACAATCGCCAGGAGAAGGGGAGGGGTTGTGGAGAGGGGATGACATAATCACGTTTGCAAATCACCAGCAGTGTGCACGCTTTAATCCATTAATGGGGTTTTTTATCTGTGATCATAAAAAGCAGGTTACATTCAGCCTGGAAGGGAGCGAGGGTTGGAGGAGAGGGGAGGGGAGAGAAAGAGCAAGAGAGAGAGAGAGAGAGAGAAAGCAAGAGAGAAAAGAGAGCACATTTCACTCGGCGAATGGCTCGTGAGCTGGGGACTGATAAGGAGGGATCTCAGGAGAGCAGTTGCTCAGAATAACCCGCTCGCCCCGGCCCGGCCCGACCGCAGGCAGCGCTTGGGTCCCGCCGGTGATTTTTAAGCCCTCCTCGCAGTTTGATGGGCATTCCCAGGGCTTTTGTGCACGTCTCGGAGAGCGTTGACGTGGAAAGGAGCAGCGAGGAGGGGGAGGTTGGAGGAGAAGAACCCTGCAGCTCTCCTGAAGATGCGGAGGGCAGGCGGGAGCGGCAGGGGGCTGGGGAGCGGGGCGAGGTGAGCGCGTCTCCGACATGTCCCTCCTGTGACTTGGACGCACCATGAGCATCTGGGAGGTGATCCTGGCTTTCGTGGTGGTGGTGCTGATGCTCGTGGCCCTGCTGGCCAACGTGCTGGTGCTGATGTGCTTCCTGTACAGCGCCGACATCCGCAAGCAGGTGCCGGGATTGTTCATCCTCAACCTTACCTTCTGCAACCTGTTGATGACCGTGTCCAACATGCCCCTGACCTTGGCTGGGATCATTTACAAGAGTCAACCGGGAGGAGATCAGATCTGTCACGTTGTGGGCTTCTTGGAGACTTTTCTCACCACGAACTCCATGCTGAGCATGGCAGCTTTGAGCATTGACAGGTGGATTGCTGTGGTCTTCCCTCTAAGTTATCACTCCAAAATGAGGTACAGAGATGCTGCTCTCATACTGAGCTACACGTGGTTACACTCGGTGTCCTTCCCGATAGCGGCAGCCTCTCTCTCCTGGGTGGGTTTCCATCACCTCTATGCCTCCTGCACCCTGTACAACAAGAGACCGGAGGACAGGACACAGTTTGTGATTTTCACTGGGGTCTTTCACACCTTCAGCTTCCTCCTCTCCCTTGTGGTCCTGTGCTTCACATATCTAAAAGTGCTGAAGGTGGCACGGTTCCACTGTAAGCGGATTGACGTGATCACTATGCAGACCCTGGTGCTGCTCGTGGACATCCATCCCAGGTAAGGTGCCTGTGTGTTCAGCAGCTAAAATCATTCCAGGTAAAGGCTTCGGTCTTGTGTTAAGTACAGTCTGCTCTGAATCACAGCAGGGGATGGGGAGGGGGAGAAAACGAGCATCTTTCTTGCCCGTTTCTATTCTGCATGTTTCTTTTTACTTGTGTTGATTTTTCGGCTGTGGAAGCAACTCTGTCGTTATGCTGAAGGGCTTGTTTTGGGAGGGAGAGCAAAGGAACAGGCAGTTTGGGGTGAGCACGCACTTCCCTCTGAGACAGCGATCAGATCACTGCCCTTTGTCTCTGGAGGTGGATTTAGTGGTCGAGAGATTAGCATTTTTTTTGTCACTGTCAGCCCAAAATGTGGCTGGATCCCTGAGAGGGAGCAGGCTGAGGTTGCCCATGTCCCTTCAGGGGGAGCGTGGAGGGGGAGCTGGGTGCTGGGTGCTGCTCCTTCACCCGGCAGTTCCCTATTGCTGCTCTCTCTGCAACTTTATCTTTCCTGAAGGCAGAATCTTAAAGGGAACAACATCTGCAAAATGCATATGCTTGAATGCCTCTAATTAAATCCGAGCGAGAGAGACGTCAGTAGCAATGTTCATGTGGCAAGCAAGGGATGGGTAAAGTTCATTCCAAATGGGACACTTTAAGCAAGCCCCTCGTGCCTAGACACAAGAGGAGAAAAGTCTCTGGGAACTGGGAGCATAACGGGCTGGAAGGCAAGCACCAAGTGGGGATGAACGTGTGCTGGGGTGCTGTGCAAAAGAGTCACGTCAGGGATTGTCACAAGCTATAAATCTTGTGTGAACAGGCTGATTTCTGGATCTGGAAGGGAGGCAGAATTGGCTGGAGGAGGGAGAGTGGGAGAGATGGCTTTCCCTGGGTCAGTGGTGAAGCTAAAGGAGGGAAAGCCTTGCTGGGTGGGAGTCCAGGGGTGGTGCTGGGCAGGCAGCGATCCAGGCGAGGAGCTGGGGAAGGTGCCCGGGGCACAGGGGAGGAGGCAGTCGGTGCATGCTGTGAGGACACGATGCCTCTGCCCATGAGAAGCTGAGAGGAGGAAACAGAATGGACCAAAACAGGCACAGCTGGAAGGACGAGGGACCAGGCTGGTGAGAAGGGAGCAGCGGCATGAGCCAGAGAGATGTGCCTGGGAAATAGGATTTGAGGAGGCAGGACACAGTGAGACGGGGTGGCTGTGGGATCAGAGTGTTGTGGCTGGGGGCTGAGAGGCTCTGATGAGATGGGGCAGAGGGGTCTAAGTCCTAGCTGTGACTGGGACAGGGTGGTAGAGCCAACGAGGGAGCTCTGCAAAGGGGAAACCAGAGGCACTGGTTGCAGCCTGGAAAGAAATCAGCCTGGTTTGCTCAGGACTAGTTTGTCTCAGAGCTTAGTGTGGCTGGAGCGGGTGATTTGAAAGGGAAGGGTCTGATGTATTTGCCTGAAAAAAAAAGGGAGAAGATGGTTTGACTAGTAGGGTGACAGAGCAGCTGTGAGGGATGCGTGTGGTGCTCGTGAGACAGCCAGAGGCAGGAGCTTAAGGTTTAGACTCTCTCTGTCAGCCTGAAAGGAAGGGAAATATCCTTCAGAAAAATGCTGGCAGCTGGCAGCACAGGGACGAGTCTGATACAGAGGAAGTCTGCCTGGAAAAGAGGCAAGTGGAGAGAACTGGAAGAGGGCAGTCCCATGCCAGGCATCCCACCTGACCCCCCCTTGCTGTCCTGTGCTCTGTAAGCTGGAGGTGAACATCAGCTCCCTCCCTGTGCAGCCAGCCAGGAGCAGAGCTGCAGGACTGAGGGCACGTGTGGCTGTCCTCAAAAAAAAGGTCATATTTTGGGGATTCCTCAGCCTAAGGCAAATAAGTCTGAAAGGATCAGGGCAGGAGAGCACGTTGTTAGAGCAACAGAAACGTTTGCTCAAAATTCTCCAGTTAAGCTGTTTGATCTGTGTCTGGACCAAGAATGTGGAGTGGAACTTCAGGCAGGTCCTCTTACTGTTCTTGGGAAACACACGTATAAATCTTCCCTTATCCCCCAAGTCACAGAGCAGAAAAAAACCCCACCCTTCTGCCCTATGTGCTGTCTGGTTGCTGAACTGTGCCTCGACTGGTCTTAGCTCCTGCACACACAATTTATATGAGATTTGGGGGCTACTCCCAGCACAACCCACCGGAGCTCTTTGAAATAACAATCATTATGCCTAATGCTGAAAGTATGCCTGGACTGCACAGCAAAGCTGAGGAAAAAGGGCAAAAACCTCAGTGGTATTTCTCCTCCTCTGCATTTTTTCTTGTCTAGGTTAATGGGAGGGTACTTGTGCATTTTGTAAGCATCTCGCTGAGGGGTGGATTCAGTGGGGCTGTGGAATCAGATCTACTTTCTTCAGAGGAGACAAAGTGGTACAGACATTTTGCTGCAAGTAATCTCTCTTATTAACTCTTATTTATCTCTTACATCAGGCTATTCTAATGCCTCTCTCTAAGAAAGGAGAGTTTTAGCTTCTTTTCTAGACTACAGAAATGGTTGATTCAACCTAAAGTGGTGCTGCCTGAACTGGTCATAGCTACCACTGCTGAAGGGCTTAGACCTTGGATTGCCTTCCAAAGCTCTGACCCAACAAAGGCATGTTCTGAATTACATAAGTGGTATATCTACAGGCAATTTCAGTGTTTACTATAGTGCCTAACAGCATAGACATGGATGCTGGGAGAGGGCACACGAGAGAACAAAGTTTTCAATCCCACCTTAGACTGCCTTGACTTCTCTGGCTCTTTGCAGAGTTCAGTTTCAACACTGAGAAATGTGTATGGACAATTTTCTGCTTCCTATGACTCAGAATCAGCCCACAAGGGGGTTTAGAGACAGGCATTATGGCAGATGCCTTTATTACCTGTGACTTGGAGAGGCACGAGTGATCTTCTGAAAATCATTCAAGACGAATACAAAAAAACCCTCTAAATACCACACAAATTTGTGTGAATGTTTAGGGCACATGTCCTTTCAAGTTAGCTTAGGCATTTGTACTGGATACTGCTTTTTCCTCACTTTGTTTTTAAGACCAAAATATCTTGGGTATTGTGAGAGGTTTGGGCAAGACTTCCCTTAAGTGATTAACCCATGTATTTCTTCACTCAAATTATCTATATTATCTTTTTGGTGTCTTCAGCTCTACAGATCTTAAGGTCCAGTATCTCATAAACTTTGTTTAAAATACCAGACCTTCAAAGGGGTACATCTCAGATTTTCCAGGATATTAAAATCTTTAAATGAAAGCTTAGTCAATAATCCAGTTCTATGACTAGTGTCACTACTGGAACTTGCATATGTGTTCTTATCTCAGTGCATAGAAGTGTGTGCCAAAGCAAAATACCCATCTGTGTACATTGTCCATGTGAAGGAGTGAGATAAAATACTTTCCTCTGTAATGTGATATTTATTAGCTACATCTGGAAAGGCAGAACAAAAGAAATTGGTTGAAGTCTATCAGGACTTCCTAAATCATATGTTAGCTCCAGGAGTCAAAGGCAGCTTTGTATGTGCCAGTAAGGAGAAGATGGAACTTGGGAAACTTTTAGAAGCAAAAAATACACCACGCTCTTCACCCTAACACCCTAATTCAACCTACTTTGGAGATTTATTTGCCTGTAGCACTGAGTGCCTGGGATACTATGAATTTAATAGCACAGGTCTTAAAGAAAGCTGTCGAACCTCTAAAATAATCTGTCTGCATCTTAAAATACTCAAAGTTCTCTAGCTCTTGCAGAACCAAAAGGATATAGGTTGCCTTGAAAAGGTGGCCTGTTTTTCTCCTTCTCAACTGTCATTTCTCACTGCAAATAACTCAGATATAGAACATAGAATCATAATACCAAGTTGGAAGGGACCTCAAGGATCATCTGGTCCAGCCTTTCTTGGCAAAAGCACAGTCTAGGCAATATGGCCCAGCATCCAGTCCAGCTGGATCTTAAAAGTGTCCAGTTTTGAGGAATCCATCACTTCCATGAGACGAAGATTTCAATGGCTGATTGTTCTCATTGTCAAAAATTTTCTTCTTGTGTCTAATCAGAATGTCCCCAGGAGTCACTTGTACCCATGACCCCTCCTCTTCTCCATGTGGCTCCTTGTAAAAAGGGACTCTTGTTTTAGTCACTCTTTATATACTGGACCATAGTGATAAGGTCTCCTCTGAACCTTCTTTTCTCAAGGCTGAGGAAGCCTAATTCTCTTCTCAGAACATGTCACACTTTTAGATGTGTTTCCATTCTACTTAAGCATATTCTTGAAGAGCGAGAAGATTTGTTATTTCAAGCAGAAAAATCTTTTCCTCCACTATTTTGTTCATTTTGTTATCATGGTAGCTCCTCTGGGGACTGGCAGTGTAAGAGCATCTATAAAATGGATCAAAAGAAACATGTTTTCTTCAGCAGAATGAAGAGGAACTCACTGCCACAGAGATCCTCAGGACATAACATGAATTTAGATGATGCTAAATATTTGCAGGTACAGCAAACAGTGTGAGTGTATGGCCATAAACCTCTCAGCTATTAACATATGTGAGTGTGGAACCTGAGAGTGTGTCATCAATGACAAATTTACAACAAAAATGGATAGTTCAATGTGAAATACTTGCAAAATACAGCACATGGGCCAGAACATCAGTTTGCCTGAGATGGGTGATTGCTTCACCACGAGACTTTTGCAAGGGGGGTCAATGCAGCACTGCTATGTGTGTAGAGTAAAAATGGAGAGACCAATGTGAAACACTTGCAAAACACAGCACATGGGCCAGAGCATCAGTTTGCCTGAGACATGTGATTGCTTCACCACGAGACCTTTGCAAGGGCTCAATGCAGCACTGCTATGTGTGTAGAGAGTGGTTCCAGGAGAGCAGTCTGGCTTTGGTTCTGGTCCTTCCCAAAGGGCTGAGTTCAGGTACAGATGGTCCTGGGTGTCTGGGAGATAACAAACAGTTCTGCCCATCCAACCTACCTTCCTGAAGAAGTCACCACACTCTGGTGGCCTGGTGAGACCATCACCAGGAAACTCACAGGAGAAGCTCATGTCCTAAAATGCCACAGGTGGGAAAAAACCAACAGGGTTTGACTGATCTGTGTCTGTTTCGTTGGGAATGAGGCTGGTTTGAGGGGAGGAGTCAGAACACCACAGAGCTGTCTAAAATGCTACAGGTGGGAAAAAAAACCCAACAGGGTTTGACTGATCTGTGTCTGTTTCGTTGGGAATGAGGCTGGTTTGAGGGGAGGAGTCAGAACACCACAGAGCTGTGGGTTTGCTATGTAATTCCCAGCTTTGCAGAGCCTTCAGCAGGGTGTCCCTGCAGAGCTGCACAGGCTGCTGGAAGATTTATGGCCACCCAGTTCACAGCTCTGGGCTACAGCAATTGCTCCAACGTTGGGCTGAATGTCCAGAGAGCTTTCTTTCACGTTATGATTTTATTGTGTTTTGTGGCTTATCTTGCTGGGAAGTTTCTCCTGTCTAAGATAGTGGTGTTGGAGTTGCTGTGTCTAGGGAAGTAGCCTGCTGCCTGCCCTGCCCTGGATATTTTCCACATCTTTGAACATCTTGAGGCAAACTCTGGCCTGTAAATACAGCTTACAGTAATTCAAAACGGAGCTGCAACCGAATGCAAAGCTGAATTCCATCCACTGGACTAGAAAAAAATTGATATAATGGGGGGGTGTGCATATAAATATATAATCACCTATTTCTCAGTAATTGGTTTTGGAGGGTAAGGTGATCATACAATGCATGAATATTTGATATCATCCCAGCTAAGCCAATAGCAGGTGCATTGCATCGATGTGGAGACAACCCTTACTGGAAGGATTGATTTCCCTCATTCCATAAGTAAAGCCATTAAAATCTGCTATGTGATGTTTTGATCCATGTTCTTGTTTGTGTTGAATGTCACACAGCGTGAGAGAGCGTTGTCTAGAAGAGCAAAAGAGACGAAGACAGCGAGCAACAAAGAAAATAAGTACTTTTATTGGTACTTTTATACTCTGTTTTGCACCTTATGTAATTACGAGGTAAGTGCAAACCTGCATACTGGAAAAGTTGACTGAAATGCACTTTTAGCTCAAAGAAGTAAGGCACTATAAGCCAGAAAATGATTCAAGTCTCCTGTGAAAATTCTGTGCACTGTTTCCCCTCCCATAACAGAGATTGCATTTACTGAGCTAAAAAAAAAGCTATATAAAATGTCATAGCACTTACCTGACAGAATCCTGATGCATTCTGCGAGCCAAAATCTGTTCAGTCAGCCCCGTCGAGATGTTTTATCACATGGGAGTGATTTAGGAAGTCAGTTCATTGGATTTTGCAGACTTTTTTTCAGGTCAGATTGCTTCCCCAGTTCAGGGGGTGATCTACAGGGGAAGACACTTGTCTGAACGGGTCAGGCTGTAAACATCTGGTCAACAAGATCCAGGTGGGGGGAGAACATGGTCCACAGACTTAAATGATAATTTTGTTTGAGTGGGTAGAGCTTATTAGTCATAATCATCAAATATCAAACTATTGTGGCTCATAGTTAAAAAAATTCTAGTGCTTTCTGGTCAGATGTCTATCCATCTACCAGCTTATCGTTGGAAATGGCTCCTGTGGGAAACAAAAAATTACTCTTATGAAATAAAAAAAAATATTAAAAAGGGAATATGTCCAGGTAACAGTTATCTAGGTGCTGAAGGAAATGTACAACTTGCATTCCTTATTAAAAGGCTCTGGAAAAACTGAAATGCTGCTATGTGGAACAGAGAAAGAAAAGAACATTTTTAAAGCATCTCCTATTCCAATACTATCACATAGAAATTATTGAGTCTGACTTCAGTCAAACTCAGATCAATCACAAAAAATCATTGAAAAAGCTGATTAAGACTCATTATGGGCATGTAGCCAACTCCAACTGTTTCCAATTCAGTACAATATTCTGAATTTCCAACAAAACAATGCACAAGAAGTTCTTGTCTCCTAGTGAAAATAGAAACCTACATGCCACACTGATTTTATGTTCATGATAATAAGAGCTAATTGATTCATGCTGTTATAAATGCATTTGTAACTGTTACTATTTCCACCTTCACTTTGGCTCAGCAGTGACAAGAACACACTCCATGCCACACTCTAAAAAGGTAGGGAAGGATTTGTAATTGTGGCCTTAGTTCTCAACCTATAAGAGATTAGAGTATTTGCTTTGTTATGAGTGGTTAAATTTAAGTTTAAATTTGGCCTCTGACCTTAATGAACATTGTTGCAGTCACAGAATAACTCGTGGCTCCATCCTGAGTGACACCAAGTGCTCTAATCAGGACTGTGAGAAGTATTTTTCTTCTCTTCCATAGGCATCTCAGCCCAGCATCCAGGCACCACCTCCCCACTTTCTCTCAACTAGTATCATAGTAGCCCTGAGACACAGAAGAGGGGTCAGAAAAATCCTGATCCTCCTCCCTTTAGCCCATAAAAGGGTCACTTAAATGTTCTTCCAAGTCTTCACTCTATTCAGGACTAAAAGCTTTGCCCCATAGAGTGACCATGAGAGCAGTTAAAAGGTAGGCTCTTGAATGCATCATGAATGCATGAAGGGTTGGGCATTGGCCAGGCATGGCAGGATTGGGTAGAGGCTGTTACCTTCCTGCCCTTTCCAGCTCTGAAATGTCTGGAGGGATCATTGCCCAGCAGGTTACAGGGATTTCCCTCTTCAGAGACCTGAGAGACCTCTCTGGACACCATGCCACACAGACTGGTGTTTGAGGACTTGCACTGCACTGCTTCCAGATGCCTCATACACACAGCTGAGGGTGTTGAAGTCGAGGGGATTAGGAGGCTTTTCAGCTTGATCATGTAAGGGAGCAGTATTTTCTGGACTATGTCCAACACTTTGCCTTCACAAGATGGAGACAATCCATCACAGTTCCAGGCAGTCAGCAGAAGAGAGCCAATGAAGTGTGTTGCTCAGCTTCTCCTTTGGACAGCCAGCTTTAATCAGCAATATGCTTAAACTAAACATGTTTTAAAGGACTTCATAAATTGAGGCCTGAAAGCAGCAAATGACAAAGTTTTACTCTAACAACATCTTTCTGCTTCCACACCAAATAGATGTCTCCAGCAATGCCATGAACCAGTGCTTGTAACCTCAGCCAGATAAATTCTTCTCTGAGCAAACCAAAGTTTTTCAGATTACATTAAGGTAAAAATCAGACTAGGGAGCCTCTTATCAAGAAAGCACCCTTCTAATTAGTTCAGTGACCTTAAGTAGTGTATCAGTAGAATCTGATTCTTCTTGATTCAGTGTTTCCACTGTACCACGATGACACCAGTATCACCCCATATTATTTATTTCTAGGCAAAGCTTGTTTCTTGGTTGCTATCAGTACACATTTCTTCCTTTGCTATATTTATCATTATGCAATTAAATGACATTGTTCAGAACCTGCTTTCTCCAAGCAGCTTTTTCCTATGAAAAAGGAAAATGAGTCATATCAATTTCTAACATTAATTTCCAACTCCAGGCGTTTCATACTGAAATACAGGACTTTGTTCATGTAAGTTAATATGTGCTCTCAATGTACGTGAGGAAATTGGCTTTAAATTAAAAATCCTGAAGTAATATCAGAAAGTTCATAGCCCAAACCCCTCAGGTTACAGAAAGGGATAGTGGAACCTGCAGAAGAAGATTAAAATTCTCTTGTATCATCTCTGGGGAGCAAGGGGGTCAGCAAACTGTGTATTTAAAGTAGTCTCCTGCCCTCTGTACACAGATCCTGCTTGGGTAGATTTGGAAGTTCAGGATTTCTCCTCAAGTTATGTTCTTGCCTGTCTGTGTGTATAAATGCATGACTTTCCTCTGCAATCTTAGGTCCATCTATTCGAAGAAAGTGGCCTTCTAGTCTTGGTCCAAAGCCTCAGCAGATGTGAGATAGAGATATTTCCCTCCTGGATAGATAAACCTTTTGGTACAAGCTGGGCAGTGCTGCTTGCTACCATCCTATCTCTGTGCTGTCTTGCTACCTCGTATCTCTGTGCTGACAGGTGGCTCCTGCAGCTCTGGGGAACAGCAGCAGCTAAAAGCAATGGTTTGCAGGATTTTCTACAAGAATTTTTCAAGATTAGCTGCAAGAGTCCAAAATCCTGCTTTACAGAAGCCAGCCAGTCGTAATGTATGCACCAATTAAGAGGCAAAACCGGCGGAGGGTGCATCAGCTAACAATCACTGCTGTGCCCTTTTTGTATCAAAAAGAAATCATTAAAATAGGTCTTTTTCACTAGGAAAAAAAAAAAAGGCATACAAAAAATCCAGGCTACTAAGCAATGCAGTGAAAATAAAGTAATATCAACATCAAGATAAAACTCATGGTCAGCTTATATCATGAGCACAAAAGAAGCAGCTAAGGTCTAATGCTGATGCTATAAGACTCATGGGGAGAAAATAAATCAGAATTAGACACCAACAGAAATGTCAGGAACGAAAGGTTAAAGAGCTGATCCAAACTCTTGGAGAAAGGGATGAATTTCTTGTGAGAACTTCATCATCATCCACCAGCTCCAAAATGCAGTGCCAGCTTTGTTTCACTCCTGAGGAACAGAATGATTTGATTTGTTTGAGACCTTGGTCTGCTCAGAATTTTCTCCATTTTCAGGTTTCAGCAATGCACAACAGATATGTTGCTATTCTACTAGGCTCCAGCTGGACATATATATATATGTTCAGTAAGATATATTACTAAAATGACAAACTGCACATGTATATAAAGGGTTTTCAGAGTGTACTGTCTGCATAAAAAAAAAAGTCTTAATCTTCAACATATCATTCTCATTTGTTTACTGAGAGTGAGATAAAATAATTGGATAGCCATTTAACCTGCCACACACTACAGAACTATAAGTACCTAAAATATTAACAAATTATCACAGCAAAACAGCTTATAGCTTTGAACTAAAAAGGTATTGAAGAGCAGACAGTGGCAGAGTGGCTTATGAAAGCAAGAGAGGGAATTATGTAGTTGAAACTGTAGAATTTAATTTACCGGTAGCACTGAAATATTAATGCTCCTTCACTGAAAATGTCTTCCTTTTGGCTGAAACTTTTCATGAAAATTGAAGCTATGCATATAATTTCCCTCATAAATGAGAAACAAAACCCTCTTTCAAAGGCAATAAAGTATGTGATATGCCTTGAAAGACTGACATTTAATTGTGCATGAAATGGAATTGCATAGCTTAGGGTTTGTCTGCGTTTCTGTGTTTGCTGCTTGAGATCTGCAAATGTAATTTACTGTAAAAAAAAATGCACAAGGATTGAAAAATGTGTAAATATCAAGGACAGTCAGGGAACATAATCAAAGAAAATGTTTAAAATTCTGACAATAAAAGTGTAGGCTTTTTAATTGATCAGTCAATGAAGATGAAATTAGCAAGTCTAGGCTTGCAACCCTGAAGTGTCTGGTTGACATACTTTAAATGGAGATTTTTAACATCTCATAGAACTGATTGACAGAGACTCAGAATCAAATTTGTCATATTTTGGTCATTCAAGACACCCACTGAATTTAATTAAACTTCACCAAATTCACATCTGTAAAGCATTCAGTAAAAATAAATCAACCCCATGAAATCCAGCACGATGAAATTCAAAGTGCAAAGAAGGCATCAGATATGTGAAATGGAGAATAACAAGAAGGAAGATGGCTTGTGGTAGATTACAAAGTAAATATGACTCCATAGATGATTAATTTCCAAATAGTCGATTCTCATTTTATTAACATGGGTGTCATAAGCTACATTTTATTAAACAAGAGAGAATACACCAGATGAGACCTCCCAGCAGCCTGAGTAGATGATAATTGTGTCCGAGTTTGGATCCTATTTTGTAAGAAAGATATCAAGCATGAGCTACAAGGAGAGGTTGAAAGACTGGAGTTTGTTTCATGGGGATGGAAGGAGAGAGAAATGGGACAGATGGTGGTTCTTTGGTATCTCAGAGCTGCTCACAGTGATCAGCAGAACCAAGTGGAGGGACAAGAGCAACTCCCCAGTATTTTCATGTAACAGGAGCCTGGTCACCTCAAATGTCTCACAGGTCTGTGAGCCCAAAGAGTATTTTGGCTAATATCACCATCTTAAAAACATCACTGTAGAGTTGTGCCTCACTTCTGATGGATGTGATGCACACAGTGATCAAATTGCTTGCACAAAGCACACAGATCAATGCTCAGTATTGGACTTACCAATACTGTGACAGTGGCTAAAGCCCCAGCTCTGGCTGCAGGCTCGTGGTGCTAAGCCCAACACATATCCAGGGAGACATATCCAGGGAGAGACAGAGCTTTTGCCATGGAGTTTGCAAATCAGAATGAAGAGAGAAGACAGAAGCTCATAGTGGTGAAACAAATTAAGGCTCCTTAGTCCCAGTTTTGTGCTCAAAAGACTGAGGGCTGGAACACATCTCCTGTGAGGAAAGGCTGAGAGAGTTGGGGTTGCTCAGCCTGGAGAAGAGAAGGCTCTGGGGAGACCTTGTGGCCTTTCAGTACTTGAAGAAGAACTCTTAGATATGGGGCCAGTCTTTTTAGCAGGGTCTGTTGAGACAGAACCAGGGATGATGGTTTTAAGCTAAAAGAGGGGACATTCAGACTAGACAGAAGGAAGAAATTGTTTACAATGAGAGCAGTGAGCCCCTGGCCCAGGTTGCCCAGAGAGGTGGTCGCTGCCCCATCCCTGGAACCATCCCAGGTGAGGTTGGCCAGGGCTCTGAGTGACCTGTTCTAGTTGCAGATGTCCCTGCTCCCTGCAGGGGGTTGGACTGGATGACCTTTAAAGGTCCCTTCCAACCCCAAACATCTTATGACTCTGTACCCTCTGCCAGCACTATTTTAAACACCACAATGCAGTGAAAGTTTATGGGATGAGAATAAAATGACTGAGGAAAAACAAATCTTCATCTCTAAACTACCTGAAGTACCAACACTGCTGTCGTTGATGCTGCAAGGACCACACTCCAAAATGCTCCTTGGAAATGGTGCTTTGTCTGGAGAAACACCAGTAGCAGAATTATTTTCCAGGCAGATTTAGGGGCACCTTCTGTTGAAGACAGTGTCAGGAAAGATCTTGTTTGCCATCACAGAGTGGGGCTCTCCAGTAGCACATGTGGCTGTTTGTCCTCTGGAAAAATCAATAATATCTCAGCAGTTGTAGACACATATTGAACAGAACTGCCCTTCAGTGTTGCACAAAGACTTGTGAACTGTCTGTGCTGAAAACTTTGTGGAGCTGTCCATATTTCACTGTCAAAAAATACTCTGTCTCAGGATAAAGTGAACTTTCTGTGCTAGTGTAGGGAGAAGGAGAACATAAAACTCTTCTCTCTCTCCTTCCCTCCACTAATGAGTTAAAAGTTTACAGGATGGTGGATTTTTAGATAGCTAATGTTAGGAGACTGTGACTCCCACAAGACCAAGTGATGGCAATTTGTGTCCCTGTCTAAAACATTAGTGCTCAAAGTATGGTTTTGCATCAATATTTAGAAAATTCTGTCATGCTATGCAGAAATAATTTCTTACAGTACTTGTGGTTAAATTTGCTGTGCATGATGTATTCCATGGTGACAGTAAATGTGAAGTCATCAGGAAACATACCTGGAGAGATTAAACTCCTTTCATTCCCTTTAGAGCTATATTAAGCCTGTGATGAACTTTAGCTACCAGAAACGTGATATTATGACACGTACCACTAGAAAAATGAACAAAATAAAAGCACTGAATGAAGAAGAAAAGCTATGTGAAATATTACTGTCTAACAGATCATATTAGGACTGAAAACTCTAGAATCATCAGAGAAAAGTACACACATTGTGTGGATATGCTTTGGCACAGAGGCTAAAAGTGTAGGGGGAGAGGATGTGTTATGGGGAAAATGATTTTATGAGTAGATATTGAGTGATATTTTTCATCAGCAGTAAACTTGCTGTGAAATCTTGACCTGTTTATCAGAGTATTTATAGTTCCAAGCATGGTGGTCACCAGACAGTAAAAATAGGGCTGGGTTACAGTAGTCCAGAGAGAGGGGTGCCCCTCTATCAAGTGTTTTGATGGCCTGAGTGAGCCAGATGAGTTGAAAAGCCAGATGTACACCAGAGATTTGGACTCAGATTTTAGTCTCCAAAAGATGTATTTCAACGAACAAATAATTAGGCTCTTTTGAAGACTGAAATGGAGCTATTCCATTTTGCACTAAATTCTTTAACATTTATTGAACGTTTAATGATCAAGAGAACCTTTTAGGAGGCAACACATCCAAGATCCACTTCCAGCCTCAGCAAATGTACATAGTCAAGAACACCTTGAAGTTTCAAGGTCAAGATACTCTGATAGGACCTGTGTAGTACCATCCTTGGAAAACAGACCTCAATTTTACACTTGTAAAACTGAGATCTTTGAAAGATGTAACGGGAGGACCACATTCACTTTTTCATGAATATGGATGTTGTTTCTTTTGTTTCCTTGCAATTGCACAGGAATAAATTGGGATTTGGGGGTGGGGGCTTGGGGAATGGGTGTGGGGGTGGCATTGGCTTACAGTTGTGCTGTTGCTCCATGCTTTTAATATGAATGTTCACTCTTCCAACCTTCCTCTTTCCACAGACTTGTAGAATTATCCTCCATGGTCCACATCAATTCCCACTGGGGAATAATTTCCAAGTGCTTAGCTTACAGCAAAGTTGTTTCAGACCCTTTTGTGTACTCTCTGCTACGGCACCAGTACAAGAAGACGTGGAAAGACATCATCAACAAGATCCTGAAAAGGAGCTCCATCAATTCCTCTGCCCTCACGAGCGAATCGCACAATCGGAATATATTGCAGCTGAACGAGTGAAGAGCCTGGTATGGGACCTCTGAGACACATAAAACATGATATGGGAAATAAAAATAACTATCCCTAGTAGCTACCCTCAGCTGTCCAAGTTTCAGGAGGCAGACATGGACAGGTTGAAGCCCAGCCCTTGTAACACCTAAGGGAGGCTTTGTACCTCCTGCCTCTGACTAACAGAGTGCTATTGATCTGTGCTCCTGCTGGCTTCACAAATACAGACCTCTCATTGATTTCCAGCAGCAGTTACACAGAGGGTAAAAAGCTAGTCCTCGGCAGAAGGACTCATGAAAGTCATGGGAGCAAACTGGTGTCATCCTATGATTATTCCAAAAAGCTGCAGAGTGGTATTTGTGCTGTAGTTGTCACTGGCTGCAGGTAACGCTCCCTCGGCTGGAGCTGCCAACCTGGCATCATAAAAACCACCCCAACCCAGCTGCTTGTATAGAAAACCTCTTCAGAGGAAAATCTTTACCTAGCTACTCATACAGTGCACAATATAGCTTTCAGCCTCTCCTGATGCATATTTTTTTTGAACAATCTTGCAGAATTGAGGGAAGAGAAAAATCTGTTTCGAAACACAGGCTGGATTCAGCCACGTCTTCTCTAAGTTTTTTAAGTACCTTCCACAGAATCCTGTCAGTTTTCTCCCCATTAGATTTCAAAATAAAATAAAAAAATAAAAATAATTAAAAAAAAAAAAGGAAGCTAGGATGGAAAGGTCAGGATGCCTGCTGCCTACATTCCAGTATATCTGAGCTATAAAAAGAGGAATTTTGGCCAAAGATGCAGAACTGAACCCTATGCCCAGGGGGAAAAGAGAAAAAAACCAAACCAAAACACTTTTCCTGAGGTGTTATTAATCCATGCTTTTTTTCTTACAGATATGCTGCTTTAAAGACATTTTTTTCTCCAAAAAGTGACTTAGAGTCCATGAGAAAACAACAATTTACCATTAGAAATAAACTAATTTTTTTTGGGTAGATCAAGAAAGCTTCTGTCCAGTGGCCATAAAGCATAGGGCTACTTTTGTGGGAATCAATGGCAAAAACATGCCCAGATTTTGAATAGTCTTGGTTAATTAGGCTTCATGAATGCAATGGCAGCTTAAATAACAGCTGACATAGCTGGCTGTACTACCATTTATCCTTGCCCATATTCTGACTGTCAATGCCATACTGAGAAAATATGGGCAGCAACATATTGAGGAAATGAGGCCCTGAGTACTGCAACCTGCCTTAGAAATGGAAGAGTGACTCTAATGAACGTCATCAGCTTCAAAAATGTGCAGCTTAACCACGGATTTTAGTTATAAAATTTAACATAATTACAATAAAATACACACACAACTGTAGTCATGGTGCTTACTTGTGTTCTGTGACTATATTTGTGCTCAGATTAAACACTGCATTCAAAATTAGTCCTTAGCCAATTAAATAGCCTACCTCATCTCAATCACTTCTTGGGTTGAACATAATTTTCTCAGGTGCAATAGAAAAAAAACACCCAGTTCAATACTTGTTTCTTAAGAAATTCAAGTCATTTTGATTGTACCAGTATATGGAATATTAAAAAGTTGATTATTAGTGATCTTTAAAAGATTAAAAGGTCTTTATCAGATTGCTAGATGTTTTATTAAGACCACTTTTACTGAAGGAAATTACAATAGGATGATTTAAAGTCCACAGCTGTTATCAACTTCTATGTGGGGGCTGCTGCCAAAGTCAATGGGAGGTTTGTATGTTGATGAACCTAGTCCCAGAAGGCTTTCAAATTTTAAATCAGTGATGAAAATAGAGTAATATAATTTCCCAGAAAAAAAAAAAAAGTACATTTAGGGTGGTTAGTAAAAGGTGGAGAAGAATCCAGCATTGGACTTGTCTCATGATGCTTGTGTATCAGTCAGTCACTGGTTGATTTATGTGTCACCATGAGCAATAAATCTCTCCCCTTGTATGTGTTTAAAATTTTGTCTTTCTTTCATGGTGCCTTTCTTCTAGAATTAACTTTATAACAGAGAATAAATATAATTTCCCCTTCCTGGCATCAGCTCTCTGACACATTGTCATATTTCTACCACCTGAAGCAAGCGAGAGTTGTAAATGCTGGTGCTTGACAAACTGACCCAATACACAAAATAAAAGTGATCCCCTCACATTTCCTGATGACATTTTATAAGATACTAGAAATATGATACTGTGGCTTGTCAAGTGCTAGATATTCAGCTGAATTCTTATAGGCAACTGGCAAAACCTTCTAAAATGTGTGTCTAGGTGATGAATGTAGCTACGAGTAACTCCTGTGTGCTCCACAACACGTTGAGTGGGTTAGACTGATGATGGTCAATATAATGCACAATATTTTATGGTCTCTGATCATGAAGCAGAACTGCTCTCTCGTTTAACACCAAGGCTTGTGTGTGTGTGTGTTTGGGGGGGGGATTTTCCATTCGTTGTTTGTTTTTGAAGAAGTTTGTAAAGTGTGGCTGCAACGTGTGCCCAAACTACAGACCTGCATGTGCAAGAGTTGTGCAGCTGCTTAGGCAATGTGCAGCTTTCTCTTTGCTGGTATCTGCCTCCCATATGCAATATTTATGTCTCACACACAGCTTCAATTAATAGTTTCTTCATATCTTGTAAATTGGGCAGGCAATGAAGAGAATTTAAGGTTACTACCCTTTACCACTATGTCCTTTGGAAGATTCTGGCTTTTTTTTTCCTCTGTTTATTTTGCTTATATTTATTTTGCTTATATTTATATAATCTCAGAGCCTTAGCTGTGAACTAGGATCCTGGTTTAGGTCAGGTTTTTGAGCCAGTTTGAATGTGAAGTTCTGTGGAATTGCATTTGGTAAGGACTATGTGAGACATAGAAGAGTTTATTGACTAAATAACAAGTACCAGGTCCTGTCCTGACCCAAATCAGCATAACAATGGGTTGTTTCAATCAGCTACAGGATTGGGTCCCATTAGATATCTATATCTGACTTTTATAAATCTGTCTTTGAAATGGGTAGGGCACTTTTTTGATGGTATTTATGAATGAAAAGATGGAAATAGAGGATTTAGTGAGTTCCTCATGTGTCTGTGGACCAACTTGCAATGGCAGGCAACCACATGATTCCTCCCTAAATAGGTTCTATCCCTGGTTTTACCCTTTGAGTAAAAAATCCCCCAAACCTCTTTGCAGTAGCCCTGTATCAGATTTTTTTATAATGTCTCATTTATGAAAAAAAAATCAAATCTAGATATTAAAAATGTTCCAAAGAAATCCTTATGAAGCCTGATGACTGCTGCAGCAGTAGCCATGTGCATCAGAGCATCCCAGGCCAGCTGAAGTTGGAAGGGACCCCTGGAAATCATCTTGTCCTGTCCTCAAGAGGCACATCCTTGCCTCTTGCTGTAATTTAGTGTCTCAGTTTTGCCACTGTGTCCATCTGCCCTGCAACAGTGCTGGGAAATGTCCTTAGTGTGCTTCAGGTCAACCAGGAAACCTTCCTGGAAAGAATTAAAAATGAATAAATCAATAAAATAGGGGAAGAAATCTTAGACTTCCAAAGCAGCTGCATCAGAACAGCTTTAGAGGTTGCAGAGCTGGGGCAGGAATGGATATGAATGGGAGCCTGAGGGTCAGGAAGGTTGGGAATGATGTGTGCCCCCCTGGCTGCAGTGGGCTTTTCCTAGTGACCTGTTTCCACATCAAGAGCTCTCCAGGTCTCTCAACCATCCACTCATCCCAAAGAGAAAGGTAGAATTTCTGTCAAATCCCAGTAATGGCCCCAAAGGGGGCTGAGGCTAGAAGAGCAGCACAGCCTTCTTTGGGGGATCCTTGTTGGGTTGGGAAGACTAAGGTTTTTCAGGTGGGCTTTATGGAAACTCCTCACGTTGTTTGAATGACCAGAAGCCACCCAGACCTGAATAAGCTTTACTTTAGCAGACAGCATAATTCTTAAAGCCCAGGAGGTTTAGATAGCTTGCAGAAAGTATTTTTTGCCTGGATTTATATGCCTAAAATTTCATAATTCCCTGACCCCTCTTAATCCTAAATGAAGGAAGCTCTGAGGGCTTTAAATATTTTGTCCTACACATTTTTACATGCACAGTGAATACCTCTGAAACAACCCTTTGGAAACTGCTTGCTTTTCCCTACTGTTGGCACTGCCCTCTCCCCACATCACATGTATTTAAATGAAGCCTAAAAGCAAAGCCAGAGACTTCACACCTATGGCAGCTCATTGTTACCTGACCCCAAAAATTGCTAAATATTTCAGCCCATCACATTCAGCTCAGAAAGCTCATTTAGATCCCAATCCTATGGTCACTATGTGTTGCTTCAGTGGGTAGCCCTGGATATTAAGGGCTAAGCATGGGTTTATGTGTTTGAAGAATCAGGGATTAGATCTTTGTAACCTCCCCCAAATAAGTAATAGCAAAAACATTTTAGCCTTAAATTTTTTTTTTTTTCCATTTCTTTGCTTTTTATGCTTTCAGCATATCAAAAAATCTTTGATGGGTGAAGTTTCTTTATAAAAACTCTCCTGCTCAAGAAGGCAGCTGTCCCTGTTGGAGGGTGTAAAAGTTTACATGGAGAAAAGAGCTGCTGCAGTGTTTGTAAAATGTCCACTTCTTACCTGTAATCCTGGTGTGTAGCATGTAAATATATATTTAGAATCATTGTTCGTGATCTAATGAACTAGTTTCTAGTTCTAGTTTATCCTATATGTCTATATTTATAAAAAAACCAAGCCCTATAGACTGTAAGTGCACTTCAGAAACGTGTGTCTCGAGAAGCAAATGCATCAGGTGTGTGACAGCCTGCATGGGTGGGAATTCTGTAGTAAAATATGATTTTTTTTGGTCAAATACTATTGCACATGGTTTCAATATACCCAAAGGCACGAGTGCACATGGTTGGTTAATAATCTGCAAAGGGATCTCCATTTGGAGTTGTGGCTGGATACCAGGAAGCTGTTTTCTAGTCACTGGAGTTCTACAATGAGAGCTTTA